GTGTTTTTCGCTTTTGGGGCGAAACCACACCAGATTTGAGAGTAGGCAGGTCAGAAAAGCATAAATGTGATATTGTTATACATACGGAGTAGTTACTCCGTAGTAGATTGGTGGCTCCCACGGTCCACGACTTGAAAGAAGAATAGGCTTTTGGAGCTGGCGAATTGGACCAGGCCAATTAATTGGTGTCCTCTTTGACTAGTTGGCTGAGAACTTGCAAGTGAGCCGCCGCATGTTTTCAATCAATGACTTTCAGCACAAGGCTGGGGTAGTGATAAGCTGTATTCAGGGTATTCCGTACGGAGTTTTTCAGCTATTAAATCTCCAGTTACCTTGGGTCTATTAAATAGCTGGCCAGCCGTGTCACTCGCTTGCACGGGGATGGAGAACAGCTATATTTAAGGTAGGGTAGGATAACATTGATTAATATGGCTTGTTTTACATCTCAGCTAATGTAGTTATCAGATAAATTGTTTTTTTATGGTCAGTTTGATGATGTAACTTAGCATTTAGTTAGTTATTTATTATTACAATGTTAATGTAATCAACCACCTAACGCTCGTTTCCACCTAACACTCGCCTTTGTAAATCAATTACAATCAACTTCAAATATTCATATCTTAATGAATATTTATTTGAAACTATTCTAAAAAACAGAATGATAATTTGTAGATATATATTATATTATATTAAATTTCTATGAGAAAATAACATATAATTATTAATTTATTAAGCTTTTTAAAATACTATTTTAAAATAAAATACACAGTCTATATTTATAAATATATTTATAAATATAGATTATTTTCATATAAAAATTAAATATGTTATAGATTATATATATTTTTAATAAAATAAAAAATTTTATCTTGAAATTCTTATTTATTATTGATTTATTTAAATTTTTAAATAAATTTTTATAATTTAAAATACTATTTTTTAATAACAGTGTATTATTGATACTTTAAAGTGGTAATTTAAATAAATTATTTTATTAAATCATTTAAATAAATTTATATTTAATAAATTATTTTTCAAATTTTAAATTTTCAAGAATTGTCAATATTTTACTTGTAATTTATAAAAAAAATTATAATAAAAAAATAAAAAAATTCTTAAAAATTAAAATATAGAATTCTTATATAAAATAATTTAATATTTATTAAATTATAATATATTTATATAAGAATTATGATTTTCAATAATATATAATACATATTTCTTAATTTATAATAAAATATTATATATTTTATTTTACTGTATTTTATTTTCTAATTGAATTCATATTTTAATTAATTTTAACTATATTATAATAATTTTGAATTATATTATACTATAAGTCTTGATATTTATAGATTACAAATTAGAAAATTAAAATAATGAATATTTATTGAGATATTAACATTTAAAGTTGATTGTAATTGATTTACAAAGGCGAGTGTTAGGTGGAAACGAGCGTTAGGTGGTAGGTGGTTTGGGGTCGTTCGTGTTTGGGAATGCAAACAAAAAGCACCTGACTTGCTTCCTCAGCTTCAACTTCCAACTTCATCTTTTGCTATTTAACTAGTTACAAACTACAACTTCTCCTTCGTCTCTATCACTCAACCCGATAGATATATTTATCACCTTCTACCAATCACCCCCAGCTCACCGCCATCCACTACCTGCTTGCTCTGCTGTCAATTCATATCCTATCCTCTTGCATTCCATATCATCCCTATCTCAGACTCTCAATTCTGCCTCCGTTTATCTCCTCCCTGCCATACAGCTTGTGTCTCTATAGCCCTCAGCTAACACAGCTTGATTCACTCCCTGCATAACCGGTAGAACATTAGCGCTGCTCGAGGGCCTGAGGGGTCCTCCATCTCCCCGTCTGTCTTCCAGACCCATCGCCAATTGTCCTGGCACATCATGAAGGCTACTCCTCTCCTTATCTCCTGGCACGACGACAACGCACCTATCTACTCCACTCATTTCGATCCTCACGGCAAAGGCCGACTCGCTACAGCGGGAAAGTACGTTATATTTCCTGTTACATCTAAAATGCTCGGATTGATGCTAACACTAGGTTCTATTAGTGATAACAATGTTCGAGTATGAGAATCCATCCCTCCTCTTTATGCACCCTCACTCTCATGACAACGCCTCAGCTAACATCAAGTTAAGTTATGGAAAGTCGAAACAATCGGCGAGGAGCGAAGAGTTACATACCTTTCGACCCTCATTAAACACACACAGGCAGTAAACGTTGTCCGCTTCAGCCCTAAAGGTATTTACACGCCGCATCTACTCCTACGCGGAACTATTTATTGATATCGGTTGTATTATATAGGCGAAATGCTAGCATCTGCTGGGGATGATGGGAACGTGCTGCTTTGGGTTCCTTCCGAACTGCAGCCACATGGAAGGGCCCTGGGAGAAGACCGATCCGATGACAAGGAGACATGGAGGGTGAAACATATGTGCAGATCCTCTGGGGCCGAGATATACGATCTTGCTTGGTCTCCTGACGGCGTTTTCTTCATAACAGGCAGCATGGATAATATTGCGCGAATATATAACGCGCAAACCGGTACGGGCTACTTTATCCCATGGATTTATTTTGAGTAAAGTAAGATGTCTAACTTCGACGGGCATTTTGTAGGTCAAATGGTTCGCCAAATTGCAGAACATTCCCATTATGTCCAGGGAGTTGCGTGGGATCCTCTCAATGAATTTGTGGCAACGCAGTCCTCGGACCGATCAGTGCATATTTACACACTGAAGACGAAGGACGGGCAGTTCACGTTAACATCCCACGGCAAATTTGTCAAAGTGGATCTCCCCGCCCGGCGCATATCTTCAAGTAGCCCAGCTCCTCCAGATATTGGCCTGAGAGGTCAATCTTCAACCAGCAATGCTTTGTCATTATCTTCGCCTGGCCCATCAACGCCTGGAACCCCAATGACAACAGCCTTGCCTATGGATCCTCCACCAGTATCCCATAGTCGCCGTTCTTCCTTTGGTTCCTCCCCATCAATGCGACGATCGGCATCACCGGCGCCCTCCATGCCACTCCCCGCTGTAAAACCGTTGGAAGTATCCTCTCCAGGCCTTTTCGGAGGACTTGGAGTGAAAAATGCCAGCATCTATGCAAACGAGACATTCACGTCCTTTTTTAGACGTTTGACATTTGCGCCAGACGGAAGCTTACTTTTCACGCCCGCTGGACAATATAAAACTTCGCATGGACTCCACGGCGATCCTCCTAAGACTAGTGAAGAGGTGATAAATACCGTATATATTTACACTCGAGCAGGTTTTAATAAACCACCGATTGCCCATCTTCCAGGACAGAAGAAACCGTCGGTAGCGGTCAAGTGCTCACCTATTTTCTATGCCTTACGGCATGGGACAAAACCTACCCGACATATCACGCTCGACACCTCGTCTGGCGAAGATGCTTTTCCATCACTCCCGGATTCCGCGGTTTCTGCAACTACCCCAACAAGCAACCCCTTCATGGAACCCCCGCCGCCATTAAACACTTCGACATCTGACCTTTCCCGCCATCTCACTTCTCCCAAGACGACTGAAACAGAAAATGGGGCCACACAAGGAGGGCCTAGCCCTGCCTTCGCACTACCGTATCGGATAGTTTATGCTGTTGCAACGCAGGATGCGGTTCTTGTCTATGATACCCAGCAACAAACACCAATCTGTATAGTGAGCAATCTGCACTATGCCACATTTACAGATTTAACCTGGTATGTTCTCCCCTGGGTTGATACCTGCGCTCAGACGTTAAACACTAACATATCGCACATCAGGTCAAACGACGGCTTAACGTTAATAATGAGCTCATCAGACGGATTCTGCTCAACCCTAGCCTTCTCACCAGGAGAGCTTGGCCAAGTCTATAACCCCAGTTCAAGCGAGAAGGCCGAGCACATTCACCATATTTCTACTACCTCCTCCACAAACGCTACTCCTCTCCCCACGCCGAGCTTCGCGACATCCCCCTCCCTTTCCAAGCCAAACCCAATCTTCTCCGCCCCCACACCCACTAGCACAACAACCACAACAACCGCCACCGTCATTCCGGCCCGTCCCGCCAGCCCAGCCGGCTCCACAACCTCATCCATCACCCAACTCTCCGCAGGCATCCCCCAACTCTCAACCTCAACCTCCGGCCCAGGCTCGAATTCCAACTCCATGGTCATAAACAACCCAACACCCACCCTGGGCTCCGTCCCCTCCGTAACAGCCACAAACTCCGGCCCACCACCTCTCCAACAAGCCGGCCTACCACTAAGCACGCCTCCCCAAACGCCCATGTCCGGCGTCTCGCACAGTGCTACGAGTTCTGTCAGCGGTAGCGTGCTGGGGAAACGGGACCTGGGAACCGTTAGCGAGTCGGAGAGGGATGAGAGCAGGGAGCGTGGGAAGTATAGTAGTAGGGATAGTGGAGCGGATTTGGAGGGGGAAGTGACCGCTGCTGTGCCAGCGGTGAAGAAAAGGCGGGTCGCACCGACTCTGATTTCTGGGGTTGGGACGGTGACGACCCCAGTGACGGCTGCGTTAGCCCATCCATCCAAAGAGGCAAAATGAATTCGATTAAAATAACTTCTCCGAAGGGATAGCAGGATATGAATTATATGCTTCAGATCGGGCGTAGACAGTTTTTTTCCCCTGCTTTTCAGTTTTCAATAACGAATTCTTGACTAAGACCGACAGGTATTATTATTTGTTATTTTTTTCTGGTTTCTTTTATTGTTCGTTATTGTAATTGCACTTTTGATGAAATTTTGATATCAGGCGGGGCCGTCATTTTTTTTTTTATCTTTGTATGTCTCCCTTTCTCACTATTTATTGTCTCCCCATCTCAGTTCAGCACCTGTTTCCCACCACCCCTTGCGTTCTGAAATTTACTATTGTTTCGGTACACAGCACAATAGTCGTGCCTATTTTCCATTGTCCATGTCTATTTCCATTTCCCCCTAACACTTTTATATTTTATACTTGTTTTCATTTTCCTCTTCAAATTTTGGTTTTCCCTTCTCATGTCATTTGCCACTTTAATTTCCAACTTCTACTTTTTATTACCACCATTGATTGAATGAGAATACTATGATGGCATACTGTTACTACTCTTATCTATGCACCCTTTGAGAGGAATGATGTTTGTTCAGCTCAAATTTATGTCTTTGCAATCATTTCTCTCACCACATCCACCTACAAGTTACTATCATAATTTCAATTTCTTCCCTGTTCACTGTTATCTCAGTGTCACTTTTAGAATCTATATTTTCTCATTATGCACTTCAGCTTCTGAGAGAAATAACAAATAAAAAACTATCTCACACTAGATAGTTAATCAACTAGTTCTTGTGTATTGAATGTGCAATGCAACACATCATCATTTGTAACATTTAGAATAAAACCAGATTTCAGAATTTGTGTGTTACATATACATACATAAAAAATGCACAATGCACGCATATGTATAGCAGTGTATATATACATGGGTAGGTATGTACATGTACAATCAGCATCCTTATCAAGACAAGCCAATGCCAAAGTCAAAAAATGATACAAAAGAGTCTACTACTAGCAGCAGAACCAGAGCAAGAAGAGCAAGAGATAATCACTACAGTGAAGCATATACAAATTCAAAAGAACTGCAACACAAAGCAAAGCAATCATTCAAGCATCACGTAATAGAACTCATTCAGCAAACACAACAGCAATTTATATGTATATGTATGAATCTGGACCCTGGTCAGAGAAGCTCAGCGGCAGTAGCAGTATGCAGTAAAGTGGAGCAAGTAGTCATATATATATATAAAAAGAGGAATCCAAAAGGGAAACTGAAGATACAACAGAATCGCTTCCGGAATGTTTTGAACGGACTTTGCGGAACCACGTAGTAATACCGACAATATACCGACAATGAAGCACGGGAGTTGGGGAGTGGGCGGAGTGAAAATAAAAGCAGGTTTTTTTTTTTTTTTTTTTTTTTTTTTTTTTTTTTTTTTTTTTTTTTTTCTTCTTTTAAGTAGAATAGGAAAAGAAAAATGTGAGGTAACAAGCAAAACTATGAAGTAGTTTGTGGTTTGTGAACCGGAAGTGGAACATAAAGTGGGATTTGAAGTGATGGCGTCCTGGGGCAATGGTGGTGGATGGGCCTCTGGTCGTAAAGAGGAAGAAACAAATGCGGGCTGCATAAGCACGGCTGAAAACGAGATGTGGAGGAGGGATAATTTCACAAGACAAAAAAAGACACTTTTGTTGGTTTTTTAACGTTTAACGTCGAAAATAAAACAAGACGGGCGTACTAGGTAGAAGTAACTAAAAGTGGCTGCAGAGTGAATAAGGAGCAGCATCGACAATGGGCCAGATATAGAGGCAGCAAAACCAGACTAATTGTTGAGAGAAAATGAGAAAGAATAGTATAGCGTAAGGATACGAATGAACAGGAGTGAGAAGGAATAAAGGGAAATAGCAAGGGAGGAAAAAAAAAAAGAAAAGAAAAGAAAAAAACAACCAAGGGCAAGACGATAGAGAAGGAATGGAAAAACGGGGATCGCAGGTAATGAATTCTCATATCCCATAATATCCATCCAGCAATTTAGCACTCCTCAAGAAGATGTCCAAGGGAGTCTTTGGATTCTCCTTCAACTATGATCCCCTCTTCCTACCCACTGACCGGTTCGTCCACGCGAAAGGTATAGACACAAGACACATATATATGCTCGAACCCAATCGACTAAGTGTCTAGGAATATAGAATCCGCGCTATCCATCGACGCTTAGGAGCGGCCCCTGTGCTCCCACTATATGTGGACTGAGATCCCGATACTCAGTATCGTTATCGTTGTCGTTGCTAATATCGTTATTACCGTCGCCGTCATCATCATCGTCATCTTCCTGGCAATCACCGAGACCAAGAATATCGAGGGGAGGCATGCGTCTCATTTCAGAACCATACGCGACTGCACATTGTTCACCAATGTCGGGAGGATAGACATCCGGAGGCGGGTAATTCCGGAGAGCGGTGGACTGGTTGGCAACAGCTTTCGGGGAAAGGATCATCGGCGGCGATGCCAGGGAGGAATTAAGGCGGCGGAGCCGTGTACGGAAGTACTGGAACACCATAGGCGACAAAGGACTTAAGGCGGCACTGTCATCATTCTTCACGTACAAATACAAGGAGTTAGAATTTGTTTCCGTGTTCGGGACTGGAAGTCTAGAATGGTGGGGTATTTCTAGCTATTGGTAGTATCCAAAACGAAAATATAAAACCCACAAATTAAGCATGTTATAGATGTCAATATATGGTATGGGCAATGACGTCTCCAAAAGTTGCTCGAGTTTAGTAACTCTGAGCGGATACGATCGCAGGCTGTTGTTATATGTATAAGTAAGTTTAGATCCGAAGTAGATGGCAAGTATAATATATCGGTAGACAAGAGAGGTTTCCTCGTAAGAGCTGGATATGATATTATGAGGAAGGGGAACAAAAGCTTACAGGACTGTTCAACATGCTGTTGCGCTTGTTTCTGCCTTTCTTAATGTGGCTCTTCAATGCACTCGAATCCAGCGGCTTCAACAGTTCGAAACTGCAGAGTAATTCAGCAGAAACTGACATGATCGCCCCCCAGTTGTCAAATTCGCCGCAGTACTGCAGAAGAAAAGTTAGTTATCAATTTGGCATGGAAGCAGTTTGAAAAATCCGAAAACAAATATCAAAACTTACATTTGGAGCAGAAAACACGGTGACTAGGATCCGATCATTGAAGAACTCGTAGCCATCCTCGACCACCATATGCGCCCGACACACAAGGTCAAAGTCATGGCGCTGTAGAAAGTCCATGATGACTTTTTTCCCGAAGCAATAACTCACACCTCTCTCGTTGGGTTCCCAATCATCATCCATATCAGCAGGATCACTCCAAAGAAGGTCGTTAAGTAACCCGTAGTCCGGAACATCTGTTGGGCGAGCAATGCCACGGATGTCATCCATGTGGGCTAAACTTGGCGACAACCCACCATGAACGCAGAAGATCTTGCCAGCGACAATGGAGGCGATTGGCAAGCAATTGAAGGTATCGACGAACGTTTTCCAGATTTTGATATTGCATCTGCGCTTGCACTCATCGTAGAACCCGTAGACTCTCGTCACATTGGCGCACTCGTGGTTTCCGCGGAGCAAAAAGAAGTTCTCGGGATATTTTAGTTTATAACACAAGAGGAGCAGGATTGTCTCTAAACTCTGCTTGCCCCGGTCGACGTAGTCACCGAGAAAGAGGTAGTTAGCGGCTGGGGGGAAGCCGCACATTTCAAACAACCGAATTAGGTCGGTATATTGACCATGGACATCTCCCACGATCTTCACAGGTGCCGAGAGCTCGAGCAAAGCTGGCTGGGAGAGGAGCACTTCACGGGCTGCCGTGCAGATAGCAATGATTTCAGCATTTTTCAGACAGACAGCTTTGGTGACTTTAGCCGAATATCCTGCATCCAGAAGTCTTGTAATCATCTCATCGACATCGATTGATTTCAAGGCACCGATTCCCATTCCAGGCGAACCGTTTGTACCTGACTGGTCTGCAGCCGCTGCTGCATCATGGAGAACAGGGTTTATAGCACCTTCCCTCTTAATGAGGATCGATTCTCCTGGCTTCAAATGAATGGATGATGGGGTTGGACGTGACGGGGGAGCGTCGGAAACATGGTCAACTTCGCCTGACTTGCGCACGTCATTGAGGTTTTTATGGCCACGGCCTAGGGAAGCAGACTGAGAAGGGGAAGGAGGGGGGTCTGGAGCATCTACGTAAGAACGCTGATCATCCGACGTCGGGGGCTTGGCTGCGGGAGCGTTAGTGGTCGAGGAGATCGAAGAGATGCGATTAACTCGGGAATTTGCGGACTTTGCACTGGTAGCGGACGCGATGGAGCCTGCATCTGATTTGTCTGGTGAACCGTTCTCACCACGCGATAGGGTGGAGATTGAGCCTCTGGGGCTATCGTTCTTCTCGCTTTTCCCACCGGGGATTTTGGAGCGGATAGAGCCGCGGATAGAACGGGTTGAGTCTCGAGTGTCTGTTCGAGAGAAGGAGGGGTAGGATTGGAGGCTGTCGCCGGACTTTTCTTGAGCTAAAGGTGCACCATCACTGCGTTTCGATTGTTGCTGACCCATCGTACGTGGGCGACGCGTCTTTGGGTGTGACAGGCAGAATAGGAAAAAGGGGGAAGGGGGGGTAGAGAGTTATGCCAGCCGCCGTATCTGTGGGAAATTCTCAAATTCCCCGGTGACAACAGGCACGATGCTCTCTTCGCTGTGTGCGATCGGCAACAGGTTACGGCGGCCGGAAAAGAGTGGAGAGGAAGAACAGGAAACTACTCTCCACAAAGGGTCTTGTCAACGCCACTCGCGTCGCTGTAGTGGAAATGTCGATGCCCGGTTGATGATCCACGATTTCGTAGGGAGGAAAGGCGGGGGATGAAAAAGGCTTCAATGGTGACTTATCTCCAGGACCCGAAGTGTTCAGCGGATCATCTGGAGGTACCTTTAAGACAAACGGGTGGAAATATAGGGTATTGCGGGATTTAGCGAGGGGGTATCAGGCCAGTTCAGGTCGTGAATTCTTTTGAAAGAGGCTCTGGTAGAAAAATATCGCTGTTATCTCAAGAGGTCAGCTGGGTGTAGGGCAACGATGGATGGTAGACAGAACATAAAGCAAGGGAGCAATGGAGCGAAGGAAGGGAAGGGTAGTGTGGGCAAGCGATATCTATAGCCAACAGCAATAATAATACATACTGGAGTTGAAGCCTGGAGGGGGCAAGGTTCAGGGAAGCTGGATGAGATATTCGCCTCCCAGGTGGACAGACCAGCCGATCTGTACGATGGGTGGGAGGAGTACAATACAACAATACAGTGGCGGATAATAACCCAGGAAAACCACAACTTCAGCAAAACAATAGCAGAGGCCGGATAGCGCAAAATCTCAGACGGCAGAGCGGACAGAATAGCAAGATCCAAGACAGGAGTTGTCCGTGAGATGGAGTGGTTGCGTTGAGGATGCGAGAGCGACCTGAACATCTAGAACTCTGGCGATTCGAGATATGCGCTAGCTGACTCATCGCGGCTCATCCGGAGCATCATCGGGCCGAATCTAGATTCTCCCGCTTATATAAGACGCCGGGGGGGGAAGTATAAATAGCTACGCATCGCTACAACCAGTATCAACGAGATTCTACATGAATGTTGACAGAATGAACATACTAAACGGGATTACGCAGAGAAGTACTGTGGATTCCTCCATGAGGGCTGGGGACCTGCAGCTGTGAGACGCTACATGCCCAGACTTTGAAAGTGTGACAGCATACATGCCACCAATCCACTCTTCTCCCTGAAGTATCCTGCCGAAACATCTCGCTGATGCACTAGCCATGGCAAGAATGGATCTTTACTTGCTCATTTTGGCTTGTCTTCTCCAGGAAGACTCTTTGTTGAGACGGCGAGATGCATCCAGATCATTCCATGCTGGATGATATCCCAGTTCCATATCAGGGCTCCGGCTATCTAGAAATGAACGGGCCATTTGCTGCGAGCACCGCTTTGTTGTTAATGAAAAGGGGTACACATACGCACAAGCACGTGGTCCTTTGCCAGATTTGGCTCCAGGTATCACCGCTCCGCTTGGCGTAGAGTATGTGCGCGGTCAGAACCACGCCCAGGCCCAATCCCGCGCCACGAGGAAGAGGATGACAATCCGGGGGCTTGAAACCCCTCTAGCTCCTTTGTCAGTCTTGCACAGCATGAAAAATACCCAGATCCGTGGAATATAAGGCCGGGTCTCCAGGACCTTGGCGTCGGTATGCTCTGACTGAAATATATTCTCCTCCGAATCTCTCCGAATCTAGGATCTTTATCACACCTATGGAAGGGTGATTCGCCCGAGGCTGCCATCCCATATCTCTCATACATAGATGCGTTCTGCGGAAAGGGAAGGTTTTGAAGGGCCAAGAATGACTCCCGGGTCTGTTACTTTGAAGGTCCACTGGCTTGGCATGTTAGCCCCCCGCTTTTTTCAGTGATGCCATGAGCAAGTGGAAACGGAGCTGCAGGAGTACTGAGAATATTAGGGTTTTGCCATTGTCTCATACCAGCGCAATTGCAATAGCTGAGTACTTGAATACTCCCTCGCTTGGGATGAGAGTGGCATAGCAGAAATATCTCTCCTATCTTCTAAATTCAATTTACACATCAGTCATCTCGAATGATGCAGGTCAATTTGTTGTTATGGAATCCGAGAAAAGTGGCATATTCTCTATTGAATTCCGCCTAGGGTATTCCACTATACAGCACACACTGGCCCGGGATCTTCGTGTCAGTGGTCGAGAATCCCCTTCATTACAGAAAGATATAAATGGGTATACTGTGGCTTTGTCAAATTCGTTGACGGGTGATTAGGGGCCCGATCCAGAGGAATTCACACATTTCTTCCGGTTTCTTCTTCTGTTATGTGTGCCGTCTGCCGATTTCCCGCGATTTGGCTGTTCCATGGAATGAATTACCGCCATCCTTTATAGCCATTCATGCTATGGCTAGACAAGGTTTGATTGAGTGTAGATATAAGAACGGTAACTCCAGACTCCAAATATTCATGTTGTTCAGTTATGTCATATGACCTGTGCAATTTGAGCCTCACTGGGGTTTGTGGTGTATAAGCCAAAATTACCTAGCCATCGGCATATTAAACCTTTCCCTGGCTTTGATGGATCAATTGCCGAGTTTCAGCTTAGGCTTTGAGATTGGGCAAAATCAGAGATGGCGTGGCGAATCTTTGCGCCATTTACTCTGTACTTTCCTTTTAGGAGTTAGGAAATCTCGCTTATGCATATGCTGAGACAGCACGGAGTACAGCGTATGGATTAACTAGGAACGCGATCTTTCTAGATCTACAAATCTAACTTGATGATCACGTACCTTACCTAATCATTATTCACAAATGAAGCAGGTGGCGACCCCTGCAGATATATCCAACCTATGCATTCCCTGTGCGCTTGTCAGGAAAAAGAGGTTATACACTACTGAACGCCACCAACATCGTATTACTACAATATTTCTCATCATCATCAGCTTACTACAACACTTGTCTAATACTCGCTTATGCTAGCTCTCTTGGCTCACACATATATTTTACTATAAATAGCTCTATCTTTTGTATGAAATAGATATATTAGATAGTGCATGGATAATATAACAAGCAGATCTTGATACACATAAGATTCATATGTCTTCAACATATTCATCTGTGACACCCATTCCGACAGTTATGAGCCCGGTAAGCAGCATCTGAAGAGAAGCGTGATACATCAATCTCAATCCTCATTTGAATTTGATAACAATCATTTGAACTGAGACAATCAATTCTCATTCGAATTTGACAACAATCATTCAAACTGAGACAATTGATCCTCATTCGTATACAGTTCAATCTACTCAACTTGTTATACCTGATTCCCGGTAAGCAGTATCTGAAGAGAAGCACAATACACTGATCTCAATTCTCATTCAAACTGATAACTATTATTTGAACTGAGATGATTGATTCTCATTCATATACAGTTTGATCTACTCAACTGTTATATACTGAATCTCAATCCTCCCTTGTATACATTCCGATATACTCAACCGTTATACACCCCGAATTCTGATCATATTCTCAAATACTTGAACCGATTCCTCAATTCATTCAATATAACTGATATGACAGATAAAACAATGTCTAGTGCAACTGTAAACCTTAGTATTTCTGAAGATTGAAAACTTTGGTACAAGTATATGCTAGAATATGCAAAGAACAAGAAGATATCAGACTTTATCAATCTTGATAAACCTGATATCTTCTCTGAACTAGAAGAACCTCTGAAACCTGAGTATTCAGAAGAAGCTATCACAGAGATCAAGATAGTATATGATATGAAGATCACTGTGTGAAAAATCAAATATATGAAATATAAGAAATTGAATGAAGATATGACAAAGATATAAGATATTATATAAAGAACAGTGAATGTCACAGAGCTATAACATATACACAGTAAGAATAATGATATAAAGAAGATTATTTATTTATTAAGAGATTATCTCTCTCTCATAACTGTGAACTATCAAGATAATATGAGAATCTGATATCATAATCTCTGCAAAGCACTGAAAAACAGAGATATAGAGAAGTAGTTAAATGACTAATCTCTCATTGAAGATGATATCAAAGAGATGAATATAGCTGAACAGTTTAACTTGAAGAAAGACTTCTTAAATATAAATGTAGTTATTGATATAGATTATATATAAGTATGAACTAAGAATATTTGATATAATAAAGATGTTATATCTTTGATAAAGTTAGTTAAGAACTTCAAGAAATAGTATAGAGAAATGAGTATTCTTAAAGAAGATAAATCTATGAATTTTACTATTCTTAATAAAAGATCTCAGTAATTATTATCAGTAATATTCAGAAACTATATCTACAGAGTCTGTCACTGATACACTCAGTACTACTATCTCAATTCATTAAGAAAGTCATCTGAATGAAAGAAAAATAAGAAGAAGAGAACTCAGATTAATCAAGCTCTTAAAAATAAAGAGATGCATTGATTATGTAATATCTAGAGATTTATTTATAAATATGAATATAATAGAAGTTAATAAGACAGTTTTGAGAGAAATGATTCTGAAGCAATCTTTTTCTCAATCTATTAATTATCAATTTATCAATTATCAATCTATTAAGTCTCATTCTATAAATCAACAGATTTGAAAAATATTAATGAACTCTTCAAATTCTCACTTCTATCTTCAAAACTTCTGAATCTTTGATACTGATGTGAAACAGTATATATATAATAATTGATCACATTTTCTATTCTTTACACCTGTCAATGAGGATGCAGAAGTCTATACAGACAATTTCAGCACTAAAGTTAAAGATTATAAAACTGTTAGAATAATCATGATAAATAAAGCAGATAATCAGTTCAATGTCAATCTTATCAACACAGCTTATATTCTGAATTTTCATACAAATATCATTGCATGAAAACTGTGTTTTCATATAGAAGGCATCTATTATAATGAAAAAGACTTCAGATTGTGAAAATGTGCAGATAATACAATCTTTATACATGTTAAAGTATTTGAGAGATTACTAGTTACAGAATATAGTGAAATAACTGTTTTCTTAATTATTTTGAAATAATTCACTACTGAAGTCACTGTAGCTATCACATCACACATGAATTGACTGATTCAGCTGCAAAAAAGAGTGCAGAATTAAGCAGATCTATTCAAAAAATTATGTCCTGGTCTTTTATAAGGAGAAAAATAAAAGAATCTTGTTTAGATAAGTGAAATGAAAGCTGGCAGAAATAAAAGAAGAGTATACATTATTCAAGATTTGAAACAAAACCCAAGTGAAAATCTTGTTCAATTAAATGTAAAAAGAAAATATTCTCATCTATAATACAGCTGAAACTAGGATATGACTATTTCAAATCTTATATACAAAGATTTGATGATAGATTTGACTCAATAGAATGCTCATTCTGCAATGTAAATGAGAATTCTGAGTATATTGTAATACACTGTGCATTATACAATAGTCTCAGAGCCAGATTGAAAGAGAAGTATGATTTAAATCAATTAAATATGAGATTCTTATTCTCAACTGAGACAGGAATTAAATACTTAATAGACTTTCTATCAGAAACTCAAGCAGCTACAAGAAAATGGCTAAATTCAGAATTATGTGAATATGAAGAGAAGGAAATCAATCAGATATAGTCTGTTAAAACAGCTATATACTATCTTTTAATAATTTGTTTTGTTACAGTCTCTCTTTACTTTATCTTTTTCTTTCAATTTCTTTTTATCTATCTATTTAATGTGTCTATCTTTAAGACTGTGTTCTCTTTCTCTTTTCCTTTGTCATGATATTGTCAAATGGTTTCAAAGTATCAGAAGATGTTAAAACACTGTAATTTGTAAACAGTTTTTGTATTCTGAGCTGGAATTTTCTGATTTTGTATATCTGAAATTGATGAATGTATAATAGTTAACTTTACAGATATAGGAAAAACTCTGAGAACTAAAAGTTCTCAGGTAGATATCATAGTCTTTGACTGCATACATCTATAATTGAAGAATAATAATAATAATAATATCACATCACACACTTCTAATATTACTATATCTGAAAAATTGATATCTTTAAATTCTTCAACTTCTATAAAACCTTCTTAAAAACCTAAGATCTCTATAGCTACACAGTCTACATTAGACTGGCCGCTGAGATCATGAATTTCACATTTAATCTCATTTAATCTGATCTCATACATTTCTTGGCATGAATTCTGCTGAGACTGGCTATCAAAAAAACATGTAAAGTGACTCTATATCAGATCTTAAAATGAAATCATGACTTGAAAAAAATAAGAAAGTGATCTCATTTAATCTCATTTAGTCTCATTCTTGATATAAAGTTACTATTTTTAGACATTTTAAGGTTTTTTTTAAACTATTTTTAATTTTTTAAAAAGTAACACTTTTTGATAATGCTCAAATAAGATTTAAAGTCATTTAAAGTAATAAAAATAATTTAATTTGAGAAGTGAAAATCATGATCTCATTTGAAAAATGTGATAAGAGTAGATAATAAGTCTCACTGAAATAGTATAAGACTACTATCTAATGTTAAAACCGTGTAATGGAATCAGTCAAATTGATAATAGAACTATCAAAAAATCTGGTTCTGGTCTCAGACACGGTCACACGGTCAGTCTAGTCTACATGATATAAGAGATTAGAACATTCATTAAAAATCATCATTTAAAAGCTTGTAAATGATGCAACTGATGTTTAAATCAC